GGGCTCAGGTGAGTATTAGGGATGCTGTGGGAGGAGCAATCCCTAATCCTTCAGCCTTTAAAACCACTTTAAATCTGTATGCTTTCCATTTTGAGAACTGGATACTCGAGCCTCACTTTTTAATGTCTAAAAATACAACAGGTAAAATGATGTTACACAGTTAAAATGAACCCTCCCTTTGCTCATGCAGGCAAAGCAACAGGTTCACTTAATTTGCACCCTCCTCAGCTGTATGTATTTTACTTCCCTTCCCTTCTCTTCTGCTCTATTCAGCATCCTTGAATGGGGAGAATTACCTGGTAGTGCTGAGTATGGGAGAGCATATGACTCCCGTTCTGGCCTTTCTTTTATGTGACAGACATGGTGCTTGGTGGTTGACCTATGAAACACTTAGGAATGTCACATCATGGTAAGATGAAAGCCTTCAGCCCTGTTTAAGTCACAACTTGGAACTTACACATGGTTTCCTCTTTTTGTTCCCAGTAGACAAATAGGGTAGTGAGGAAGCAAGCAAAAAAACAAACAAAAGTTATGTATATACAACTGAAGAGGGTGGCAATTAAGTCAACCTGTTGCTTTTCCCTGCACAGTTCGTCTTTAAGCATGCAAAACTTGTAGAATTTATATAACGTTTACAAGTGGGGAGCTTACAGCTGGTCTCAAAAACAAACTTTTATGTTCAATGAAGAGTAAAGACATTTATTATTTAAACATTTGTTTATCTGTGAATATGATGTTGGCTATCCTATTGTCATTATAAAGCATATGGTATGTTTTTAAAGGGTAGAGCATACCAAAACAATGCAGTCTCTTTAAAGCAAGCCTTCACCCTGCAGACCCCTCTAAACTCCCCGCATTCCTTCCCCTCCACGATGTAACTTGTTGTTTACGGTTTGTTTACAATTTTTTTTAATTCTTTTTTTGTCTGCCCCCCACCCCCACAGCCATTCTTATCCAGGCAAGTTGTGTCCCATCATTTATCCCAGAAGGTTGAAAGAGCAGGGACACACTGTGATTGGTGGATGGTGCAGGAAACCATCACTGGGGGTCCAGCTGCCATTACATGGAAGTGGCAGCTGACTTCTGATGACCAAGGAGAAGGGCAAGAAATGTTGCTCTTTCAAGTGGTTCTAAAGTGTAAATTTTGTTTTTATTCTTTACCTTACTGCATTCTCTGCATTAAGGTAAAAAAACACCCTACCATATTTCCTAGTCCCCTCTTATCCCTAAACACTTATCTGGCTCCTGTCTCTGGCTCCAGCACCGCTCCCCTCATTTTCTGCTTTCACAGGAAAAACTGAAGGCAGCGGGGCACACAGCCCAGATTGGGAAAACGCACACATGGGTGCCTCTTTAACACCCAGCCTACTTTGGAAGTACCTAAAGCAGGCAAAAGGTAATCGCGCCAGCAGGGAGACTGCCAGAAGAGAAGAAGGCAGTGAATTCTATGAAATATGAATGCACAGAGCAGGAAAGTATAGCCTCCCTTTTTTTTTTTTTTTTTTTTTTTTTTTTTTAAAAAAAAAAAAAAAAAAAACGACTTCAGTATCACTTTAAGTGCAGACAACACAGGTAGGAATAGCACCCTTAGAATGCATTTTAGGAAAACTGTATGTAAAAAAAATGTCCAGGTCATGCCATAAATAGAAAAGAACCTTGGTTCATTGTGCACTGTTCAAAGACAAAGATATTATTGCTGCTTAGAAGGTTTTTCACCCTGCCAAAAGTCCTTATAGTTTTTTTCACCTGATGTACACCGTTTGTTTCTCCAAACCTTTTAACTGTTCTGAGCACTGTAATTAGGTTTTTATTCATACGTCTGTCCATGCTAGATAATGTTTCACAAAAAGTGGAAGACACCCAACCATCATTCCATTTGACATCTTGGGATGATAGTGATGGAGAGGTACTTCTTAGCGCTATACTCTCCAGGAATCTGCCTGATTTGAGGAAAAAAAGTTTTTTCCTTCATACACTATTGGTTTGTATAAATGTAGAAAAGGTGCAGTGCTTACAACATGCTAAACTCCAAACTTACAGTGGGGCAAAAAAGTATTTAGTCAGCCACCAATTGTGTAAGTTCTCCCACTTAAAAAGATGAGAGAGGCCTGTAATTGGCATCATAGGTAGACCTCAACTATGAGAGACAAAATGAGAAAACAAATCCAGACAATCACATTGGCTGATTTAGAAAGAATTTATTTGCAAATTATGGTGGAAAATAAGTATTTGGTCACCTACAAACAAGCAAGATTTCTGGCTCTCACAGACCTGTACCTTCTTCTTTAAGAGGCTCCTCTGTCCTGCACTCATTACCTGTATCAATGGTACCTGTTTGAACTTGTTATCAGTATAAAAGACACCTGTTCACAATCTCAAACAGTCACACTCCAAACTCCACTATGGTGAAGACCAAAGAGCTGTCGATGGACACCAGAAACAAAATTGTAGACCTGCACTAGGCAGGGAAGACTGAATCTGCAATAGGCAAGCAGCTTGGTGTGAACAAATCTACTGTGGGAGCAATAATTAGAAAATGGAAGACAATGCAAGATCTCACCCCATGGGGTCAAAATGATCACAAGAACAGTGAGCAAAAATCCCAGGACCACACGGGGGGACCTAGTGAATGACCTGCAGAGAGCTGGGACCAACGTAACAAAGGCTACCATCAGTAACACACTACGCCGCCAGGGACTCAGATCCTTCAAGATTAAAATATCCACGTGGAGTAAGCAAACGAACAGTGTAAAGCCACTCACAAAGATGGCCGCCGAACCATCATACGGCCACGGCGGCATGACATCAGTACGCAGGCTCCTCCCTTGAAATAAAGTACTACACTATTAGCCGTTTCTTTCTAGGCTCTTTTTGTGAGCTGGTTTTTTCAGGATCCCTGCCTCTTCCACTTTGAGGATTGATTGCTGTGCTGAGGATACCCCTCCAATCTGATACATCTTAGCTTCCATGGTTCTGTGTTTGATGGGAACATAGCCTGACCTGCTTGTGGAGGAGTGTGCCATTTTTGCTCTACATGTGCATTTTATATGCGCTTCTGGTGAGTGCATATAAAGGAGTCATTCTCACGGATTCACTTATCACTGGAAGTCACTAATTTCTTACGGATTCATTCAATATTGGACTTTAGTGTCTGTGTGTCCAGAGCGCCTCACTGTGATTATTTAGATATTGTTGCATGTTCATTTATGTCACCCAGATATATGGTAATTATATGCATTTACGTATAAGTTTGGAAGTTTAGCATGTTGTAAGCGCTGCACCTTTTCTACATTTATTATTAGTGAGGACAAAAAGGGCAGTCTTTAGTACCAGCAGCTTAATTTCTCTCTTTTTTTTTTTTTTTTCTCCTGAGTGCTCACTGATATCTTCTATACTATTGATTTGGAGCATGCAGGTGAAACTCAAAAAAATTAGAATATCGTGCAAAAGTTAATTTATTTATTTCAGTAATGCAACTTAAAAAGTGAAACTAATGTATGAGAGCAACTCATTACATGCAAAGCAAGATAGTTCAAGCTGTGATTTGTCATAATTGTGATGATTATGGCTTACAGCTCATGAAAACCCCAAATCCACAATCTGAGAAAATTAAAATATTACATGCAATGAATAAAACAAGGATTGTACATAGAACAATATCGGACCTCTGAAAAGTATAAGCATGTATATGTACTCAGTACTTGGTTTGGACCCCTTTTGCAGCAATTACTGCCTCAATGCGGCATGGCATGGAAGCTATCAGCCTGTGGCACTGCTGAGGTGTTATGGAAGACCAGGATGCTTCAATAGCGGCCTTCAGCTCTTCTGCATTGTTCGATCATGTCTCTCATCTTTCTTTTGACAATGCCCCATAGATTCTCTATGGGGTTCAGGTCAGGCGAGTTTGCTGGCCAATCAAGCACAGTAATCCCACGGTCATTGAACCAGGTTTTGGTGCTTTTGGCAGTGTGGGCAGGTGCCAAGTCCTGCTGGAAAATGAAGTCAGCATCCCCATAAAGCTCGTCTGCAGAAGGAAGCATGAAGTGCTCCAAAATCTCCTGGTAGATGGCTGCGTTGACCATGGACTTAATGAAGCACAGTGGATCAACACCAGCAGATGACATGGCTCCCCAAATCAGCACAGACTGTGGAAACTTCACACTGGACTTCAAGCATCTTGCAGTGTGTGCCTCTCCATTCTTCCTCCATATTCTGGGTCCTTGGTTTCCAAATGAGATGCAAAAGTTGCTCTCATCAGAAAAGAGGACTTTGGACCACTGAGCAACAGACCAGGTCTGTTTTTCTTTAGCCCAGGTAAGATGCTTCTGACGTTGCTTGTTGTTCAGGAGCGGCTTGACAAGAGGAATATGACATAAGAATCCCATGTCTTATGGGATCCGTCTGTGTGTGGTAGCTCTTGATGCACTGACTCCAGCCTCAGTCCACTCCTTGTGAAAGTCCCCAACTCTTTTAAACAGGCTTTTCTTGACAATCCTCTCCAGGCTGCGGTCATCCCTGCTGCTTGTGCACATTTTTCTTCCACACTTTTCCCTTCCACATAACTTTCTATTAATGTGCCTTGATACAGCCCTTTAGGAATATCCAACTTCTTTTGCAATTACCTTTTGAGGCTTTCCCTCCTTATCTAGGGTGTCAATGATGGTTTTCTGCACAACTGTCAGGTTAGCAGTCTTTCCCATGATTGTGGTTTTTACTGAACCAGCCTGAGAGACCATTAACACAATATTCTAATTTCTGAGATTGTGGATTTGCGGTTTCCATGAGCTGTAAGCCATAATCATCACAACTATAACAAATCACAGCTTGAACTATCTTGCTTTGCATGTAATGAGTCTATCTCATATATTAGTTTTACCTTTTAAGTTGCATTACTGAAATAAATGAACTTTTGCACGATATTCTAATTTTTTGAGTTTCACCTGTATGTCATGTCTTGAAACATATATTTTGTCTTTGTCTCCAGAAGCAAAAAAGAAAAGATGGACATCCGAGGTGCTGTTGATGCTGCTGTCCCAACAAACATTATTGCAGCCAAGGCTGCGGAGGTTCGTGCCAACAAGGTGAACTGGCAGTCTTATCTTCAGTAAGTATATATCACTGTCTTTATAGTCACAGACATTCTGCATGTGAGTTCTTACATTTAAAGAAACAGCTTTAAAGTCCTGAGCGAATTCTAGAATCCCAATCCAGGTGCTCAGATACTTCTCCCTAACAATAGTGGCCTTCTCCGGTGTCTACATCCTCAAATACAAAATCTTTTTTTGGCACTGGCAGGGTCTGCATGGTGACTCTCCATAGACTTGAGTGGGGCCATACTCTCAGTATCTCTTATGTTGGATTACAGCTCCATTCAAGCTTGTGGCACATGCAGATTCTGCAAAGAAAGCCATATTGCATCCAGGCATGTAATCAACGGAGGAGGTTGCTACATTCAGTAAGAGGTAGGAAAGCTATTGGGCAGGGGAATTACAGTAAGCTAGATTGGGGAGCTAGGTATGGTGAGATAGTTTGCGATTTCAACTGGACTTGTCCTTCACCCCGTCCTGTTCACCATCTGTATATAAAATGTTGAAATGCTTTCTCAAGTCAGAGCCCTAAGCTGACATTTATTTATTTATTTATTATTATTATTATTATTATTATTATTATTATTATTATTGACATTACTTTCACTTAAGACATGGGTCTTCTCAAATGATTGAGAAATAGCTTGCTTGCTGACTGTCAGGTAAGAAATGGTAATCCCATGAAAGCTGGATGCTTCATTAAGAATACACCTTCACTGTTTATCTTCCATGCTATATGTTTAATGCTGTAATAATTACAAAAAAATATATATTTTGATGCATTTGGCAGCCTAAAATGAAAAAAAACCCCACACATATAGGCTGTTATTATTATAACAGAGTATCCAATAAAAACCTGCTATGTCCTTTAAAACTTCTTGTAGCTGTGCCAATTTTTCATAGAATGTTTGTGAGGCAAGCTGACACTGTTAAATTTGAGCTGGATATCTAAATAAATAGTGGTGTGAGTGCATGTGTGTGTGTATTTCTCTCTCTCTCTCTCTCTCTCTCTCCCTCCCCCCCCCCCCCCCCCCCCCTCTCTCTCTCTCTCTCTCTCTCATTTTTCTCTCATATACACACACTGCTCAAAACAATTAAAGGAACACTTTGAAAACACATCAGATTTCAATGTGGAAAAATATCATGCTGGATATCGATACTGATATGGACTGAGTAATGTGCTAGGAACATAAGGATGCCCCATTGTTTGATAGAAATGAGAATGATCAACCTACAGAGGACTGAATTCAAAGAAACTCTGAAAGTCAAAGTGAAAAAAATTATGCTGCAGGCTAGTCCATTTTGCTGAAATTTGATTGCAGCAACTCAAAATGGTACTCAGTAGTGTGTATGGCCCCCACGTGCTTGTATACCTGCCTGAAAATGGGGCATGCTCCTAATGAGATGACGGATAGTGTCCTAGAGTATTTCCTCCCAGATCTGGACCAGGGCATCACTTAGCTCCTGGACAGTCTCAGTTGCAACCTGGTGGTGTCGGATGGACCGAAACATGATATCCTAGAGGTGTTTTATTGGATTTAGGTCAGGCGAGCGTGGGGGCTATTCAATGGTATCAAATCCTTCCTCCTCTAGGAACTGCCTGCATACTCTCACCACATGAGGCCAGGCATTGTCCTGCACCAGGAGAAGCCCAGGACCCACTGCACCAGTGGAGGGTCTGACAATGGGTCCAAGGATTTCATCTCAATATATAATGGCAGTCAGGTTGCCATTGTCTAGCCTGTAGAGGTTTGTGTGTCGCTCCATGGATATGCCTTCCCAGCCATAACTGACCCACCACCAAAACGGTCATGTTGAACAATGTTACAGGCAGTATAACGTTCTCCACAGTTTCTCCAGACCCTTTCAGGTCTGTCGCATGTGCTCAGGGTGAACCTGCTCTCATCTGTGAAAAGCACAGGACCCTGCCAATTTTGGTGTTCAAATGCACAAATGTACAAATGCCAATCAAGCTCTATGGTGCCGGGCAGTGAGCACAGGGCCCACTAGAGGACGTCGGGCCTTCAGGCCACCCTCATGACATCAGTTTCTGATTTGGTCTGAGACATTCACACCAGTGGCCTGCTGGAGGTCATTTTTTAGGGCTCTGGCAGTGCTCATCCTGTTCCTCCTTGTACAAAGGAGCAGGTACCGGTTCTGCTGATGGGCTAAAAAGACCTATGGCCCTGTCCAGCTCTCCTAGAGTAACTGCCTGTCTCATGGAATCTCCTCCATGCCCTTGAGACTGTGCTGGGAAACACAGCAAACCTTCTGGCAATGGTACATATTCATGTGCCATCCTGGAGGAGTTGGATTGCCTGTGCAACCTCTGTAGGGTCCAGGTATTACCTCATGCTACCAGTAGTGACACTGACCCTAGCCAAATGCAAAACTAGTGAAAAACAGTCAGAAAAGATGAGTAGGGAAAAAATGTCTGTGGCCTCCACCTGTAAAACCATTCCTGTTTTGGGGGTTGTCTTATTTTTGCCCATCTAGTGCATCTGTTGTTAATACACCAAAGCAGTTGAAACTGATTAACAACCCTCTTTGCTACTTAACGGACCAGATCAATATACTAGGAGTTTAATTGACTTGATTCTTGATTTCTGATTAAAAGGTTTTGCTTTAATTTTTTTTGAGGTGCGTGTTTGTGTGTGTGTATTATTGGAAAGAAGATCCTAACCCTTCTGGCCCATACACATGCTAATTGGTTGCTAAACTGTGTCTAACAAAAAAATGTATATATTGCAGCTTACTAGTCCTTGCGTTATGGCTGCAATTGTTTTCTTTTTGTTCTGTTTTTTTTTTTTTCTTTCTTGCATCGTAATCTTGCCGATAACACACTTCCTGTCCCTGGGTGGCCACATTATTCCTCCACTGTATCTGGAGGGAGCCTTGGTTGTGACCCTAGGTTTCTTTCCTGATATGGATTACTAATGTGTCTGTATCTCTTCATCTCAGTTACATTGGAGGCAGGGCAGTTGGTAGTTTACAGAAGATATTTAGGAAGATATTAATGTTCTCTGATGCTGCTCACAGAAAGTGACAAAGTGATAAGATCAGGACCAGGGCTATAGGCTACAGTATATTGCATGTTTCTGGGGTCTATCGTTTAAGTCCTCATGATCATTGTACATTTTTTTGCAGCTGCTTCTAGGGGCGTTAGGTGTTTTTTTTTTTTTTTTTCTTTTTTTTTCCCCCTGCATGTTAGCCTATGTTTCCATGCACACATAGGATTTTAGCAGCATTCAGTGGCGTGAGCTTTTAGAGGCAGTAAACAAACCCGCTGCCAGTTCATCCAGGATCAGCAAAGTTTTGGCAGAAAAAATGCTTGACGTTGCTAAACGCATTTAGCACTTGAGGGTTTATTCATTTTAATAGCCAGAATAAATTATTATTCTGGCCAATGAAATTAACTAACGTCCAAGCTCATGTAAACGCACCTTAAACCTTGTAAAAACTTTAGACACTTTTACAAGCGTCAGGCTTTTTTTCTGCCAAAACGCTTCTGCCAGGATGAAAGACTTCTAGGAGAGTTTGCAAAACGTCTTGTTTGCATGAGGCCTAAGAATGTTCATCTGTGTTAATAATAGTTGTAAATCCAGAAGACACCAAATTGTATTGTCTATATGCAAGATATTAATTAGGATTACCATAATTGTTATAGATCTAGCTATCAGTTGTAAAGATGTAGTGTGATCTTTGTGTATTGGTAGCCTGATGCTGGCTATATGCAGATCAAATGTAGCAGAAATCAACCTAAATTTGAGCCATGAATGGCCCTGTTGGCAACCCAGCTCAACAAACTTCAATTGAAGGAGTTAGGTGGAAATTTCTTGGCTGAACATTAACCGCAGCCAGTCAGATGCAGTCCCTGTTCAAGTATTTTGAAAGCCGCTGGAGCAATGCCAGCAGGGGATATTTCCTCCATCTGTGCTGTTTAGTGTGGATGAGGAAATCCTATTGATTTTTTTTATTCCAAACGTGTATGGCTGGCCTTAAGCTTTGTATTACTTGATGCAAATGTGATCACTTTTCTGGCTGCATTTACTTTGCAAAATAAACTAAAAAAAAATGCTGGATTGCTCAGTGAAGTGATCATTGTCTACATCTGCCCCTGTACTGTTCACAACAAATAATGCAAATCTGTTTACAAAACAATTTTTTCTTAATGTTTTGCCTGTCAAATCTGATGTTTTGCTCTGTTGCGTGGGGAGGCTTTGGTAAAACAAGGCCTTCCTGTGTGTTTGAGCTTGAATCTTATCATCATTGTGTTAGAATGTATAGTATTTGCCAGTACAATGCTTCATACTTATGGTTTTAGTCATTAGTGATGTTTTTAGATCTGGACCCACTGGTGTATCTGATATGATGCGTTTATGTTTGAATAAGTTCAGCCTTACTAATCTCCTATTTTTCACTGATATATTCTATACTTCAGATTTCCATCTGGGCAGTAGTGTACACATCAATCCAAATGGAACAGGCTCTAATAGGAAGAATTTCTGATGTAAAAAATGCATTTTTCTAGAGTGGGGGTATTGAGTTAAAACTTATGGAGGTCTGATCAGTAAAATGTTCTTCCAGCAGAGGTCCGTATCGCATGTGTGTGTGTGTGAAGACTCCTTCCCAAAACAGCCCCCCTTTTAATTTCAATCCTGTTCTTACAGCAGTGTCCTCAGTTCCCTGCACATGACCGTTCCCCACTTCACATCACAGTTTTCCTTTCAGAGTAGTGTTCTCAGGCCTCCTTCACATCACCCCCCACTACCTTTACAGTAGTGTACTGAATCCCCCCCCCCCCCCCCCCACACATACAGTAGTGTGTTCCCTCCACGGCACTGTCCCCATTCACATCACCCCTTTACAGCACCACCCTCTTTCACATCACCAGTCCCACTTCACATCAACCCTCCCACAATAGTGTGCTCTTCCGTCTTCACATATCACTCCCCCATAGCACTGCCCCCCTTTCACATCACACCTTACCCCCACTGTAGTGTTCTCTGCCCTCCCC